AGAACAACAATTAAAAGAATGAAATAATTCCACTAAGCTTTCATATGTGCTTGTTTAAGTTGAAAATTTTATAATATCCACTAAGCTTATTAACTGTAGATATTTTCTCTAAAAATTAATGTCTTGGTCTCTTCTGAAAATGGTCTACCTAATATCAGCCAAAAATAATCCAATGGATGGCCATTGAGGAATCAACTAACAAGAGTGGAAGACAATGGCAAACAAACCTGGGAAAGATCTAATGATCGAAACCAATTGTGGAAGAGAATTATAAAAAACAGGAATTGAGAAACAATAAGTTTTTTTAAAATTTTTTTACTGATGAGTTCAACTTTAACAGTTTGAAAAAAAAATTAACAAAAAGAGCCTTAGAGGTAAATATTTTTTCAAAACTGTTAAATAAAAGATCTAGCTTAAAAAAGTTTTTACTTTTTTAATACATATATAAATGTCATAAAAAAGTATTTTCTAAACTTTTACTTATTTTCTCTAAAATAAATGTTGTAAGTAAAAAAAAATATAAATTATAATAAAACTTCATAATTATTACTATTAATAGCAATTGAAAAATTGAAATTTTTTATAGGATAAATTTGCCTAGGCTGGACCCTTTGAAATTTAGTCGGCAATCACAAAAATTTAGATTTAGGATTATAGGGATTTATTTAGGAGATATAAAGCCGACCTTCGTAAACAAATTAAAACCAAAGATATAAAATACAAATGTTCGAGAAGTTTTTCTAAATTTTTAGCTTTAAAAAGAATGAAATATAAATCTAAAGTTATTTGTGTGGGTAGAAAGAGCAACGATTCAACTTTCCAGCAGTTGTAATGACTTTAAATTTGAAGAAAATTAGAGAAGTTATGAATTTTTTATTTTTAGAAATTTTTCAGAAAATTTAGTAATAAAATTGACAATTTTCGATGTATGTAAAAATTTGTATATAAAAGTTTTGAAGTACAATAAAAACGAATCTAACTTGTTTTTTTATAACAAAAATTTACTTGGCCAACTTTATTGGAAGCGCCTTTTGATTTTCAGCCCTGATGATCCACGTTGGCACCAATAAAAACTTTATAATGACTGCGACCTCAATATTTATCACCCATGAAATGTACAATAGTCGACTAACTTCCTTCAATAAAACAATTCAATTAGTCGACTCCAGCTGACTTTACCCGAGCGTTACACACCAGGAATCTGATGGCTCAAACTAATTAAATCTCCACGAAAAATTACAAAATGCCTCTAAAGAGGTTTTCACTTCAAAATTGTGTAAATTTGCACTGCAACAGAATTTAAGTAATAAAGAACATAATATTTAAGATTAATATTTAGCTAAAAGCTTAAAATAACAGTGCATCTGGGAGGTGTGGTGTGGATTGGGAGTACGGCTTGAGTACACTGTAGTAAGATGTGTACGGTTGCCAACTACAAACTTCTTAAACTTCACTCAGCTCTACTTTCTAAACATGCATTTATAAAAGCTAATTTAAATATTTAAACTCACATGGAAGTTTTAAGAGAGAAAGACTAGTATAAGCTAATAACTATAAGATATCCAATAGTATCGCCTTAACACTGTCAGATCTTTACATAGCCAAGTATTTCGACTCTTTTTTTAAGCAGAAATTATCTTTGCAATAATCATTAGAAAAATTCAGAACTTTTATTGTTATAGCCTAATCTACACAAATAAACAAAAACTGAAAATTCATGCAAATAGCCAATTATATTTATTAATTTGAAGTTTTAAATGAAATTTAATTAAATTGAACTAGAACGTTTGTACAGTATTCCCCAAACCAATGAGCCATTTTTCAAATGTAAGTGAAACAAGGAAAACATGTATGTGCATCTGCATGCAAAAGTAGGGGATGGAATTTGATAATGAATCATTTTTTTTATATCAATGTATATTAGGGGGACCAGAAAGTAATGTCGTTTTTTTATATTGAATTTAAACACATAAATCTCATACTAGTTTTTATTTTTGATCATTGATGGAATCACCCTCGTTATTAACAACCATTTGCCATCTACGGTGCAAATTTTCAATGCAGGATCGATAACAATCAATTGGTTTTGAGCAAAATATATAGAAATGGCATTTTGGAAAACATTCAAATTTGCTAATCTTTTGCCACTTTGAAAGTATTGAAACGATCCGAACAAATGGAAATCCGATGGTGCAACATCAGGCAAGTATGGTGGATGAGGCAGTACCACCCACCACAATTCATTTTGAACTTTTTTTTAGAGTTCGCCTTATGCAGTGCGATCTTAAATTTTCATGTTGCAGAATAAGTCTTTTCCTGTTGACAATCACTGGCCACTTTTCTAATAAAGATTGATTTACACGACCTAATAGTTCACAATAAAGGTCTGCGTCTGCATTCAAAGCTTGTTCAAGTTTCAGCATTTCAAAATGAGCAAAGCCGGGAATATTCCACCAAACACACAAAACGGACTTTTTGGCGTGTAATCCTGGCTTAGCAGTACATCATGGCGATTCTTTTGGAGAGAGCCACTGCCTTTTGTGTTTTGGATTATCTTACAGGACCCATTTTTCATTTCATATAGGTGGTTTACCAACCTGATGCAAGTGGTCTTGGATGGTCGAACAAGGTAGGTTAAGACTGTGTGGCAATCCCTTGATTGTCGGACACGGATTGGTTTGACTTCCGCCTTTAACAAGTTATTGTTTAACGTTGTTGGTCTTCCTGATCGATACTTATTGGAAAGATCCAAATTACCAGATTTTAACTTGAAAAACAACCTTTGGCATTTTCAAACATTTAATGCATTTGGATAAACATTGCAAATGGTGGCAACTGTTGCGTTACTACCCTTGTGAAACACAAATATACATATACATATGTACTATGATATGTACATCTTTTGGTATTTGGTATTTCACCAAATATTGCAAAAAAAATTTAATTTAATTATTTGCAACTAAAGATGTCACTATAACCTTAAAATGTTTTTGCCACGACATAGATGAACAAAATGAGCTACCAAAAGACAATCAAATAGTGACATGCTCTAAAACAACATTATTTTCCAGTCCTCCTAATATAATATATGTTATATAAAAGATGGGAAGCAATAATACTAATTTATTAACAGTTAATTTACAATAATTAATAAATTTTTATCACAAAAATTCTTTTATCAATAATAAAAACACTTTATTTAGTTATATCAACATACATTTTTGTAACATTTAGCCATTTGGACATTTTCAAACATTCTTTTACACATATTATTTACCACCTATTTAAAATTTTCATTTTGTCAGTCAGGATTTTTGTTGATTGTTATTTTTTCTTTCTTATTTTATATGTATATATAGATAACCATTTATCATTTCATTTCTGCACACTATTTGCAAATTTTCTAGTACATACCACATTTCCCATACATGTCTTATACCAACAGTTTGTTTGAAAATGGCCAAGTGACCGAAACGTTAGAAAAATATATGTTGATATAATTAATAAAAGTTTTTTTAATAAAGATAAAAGAATTTTTAGGTGTTATATTTTTTAGGATAAAAACGGGTTCCAAAATTTGTTAATTACTTTTACCTTAATCTTTAATATTCATCCAACTTTGGGTCAAATCGAACTAACCATTTTTGAAATATAGACATATGAAATAATTTTTTTAATTGTGTAAGTGAAAATAGAGGATGGAATTTAATCAAAATAATAATAACGACAGTATGTTTTTAGGAAGATTGTGAAAACAACAATCTCTTTAACCTTCCGCGTGAATAGACAGCTTTCCTACCTTTGTAGTGAGGAAGAAACCTTCCTGGGTCATTTTTCATATATTTTAATCTTTACTACAACAGGAATGCTATATCTCTCCTCAGTGTTGAAATCTAGAGGGAAGAACCAATGATAGCTAAGTGTTCAGACATCACCTTTAGCAACCTTAAGTCTAGTTGCTCCAGTTGAGTCCAGCCTGGACGAGGTTTGATTTATGGTGGTGGAATGAATCTTGACCTTTTCACTCTGGTTAAAATAGATTGGTTATCTATAAGATAACCTGCCGGTATGGCACACACACACACAGAAAGAGCGGGGTAGCTCAGTGGGTGAGTACTGACTTTCAGAGCTCAAGGTCTCAGGTTCGAATCCGGCTGATGAATAGTAATTTTTGCGAGGTTGTGATGGCATAATGTGATGGAGTGTTGCCCGTTCTTAGAATCCTTGTGCTTAGTGAAACGCCAGTTCTAATCTGGCCTGGGATGGGTCGACTTTTATTTTGTGGCAGACCCACGGAATAAAACTCGACTCTCTCACTCTGGTTAGAATAGGTTTGGTTGTACCTCTAAAACAACCCCCCCTGTATGCCAGAAATGGAGGGTAGGGGGTTATACAATAAAAAAAAAAAAAGAAAAAAAAAAGGGTATGGCACACACAAAAAAATAAAAATAAAATAAAAACAAGAAGAAAACTAGAGAGAAACAGTGAAGAATGCATTCATATCATATAACACTCCAATTAGATTGTAGTGTCACAAATAATAATAATATGAATCGTAAAACGAAAAAAATAATTAAAAAAATAAAAACAGCAATCAAGATTTTTAGTATTATGAATGTTAAAATGAGAAACAGCTTCGATCAGAATACGTATCAAAAAATGGAACTGTAAAATTAGTTTAATCAATTCTCTCAAGTTCACCATAGTAACCCAAAATGGAAATAATTTTAAAGACAGTATAATAATACAATTATATATACAAATCAGTGATATACGCAATAAAAAGAAAGAAGTGTTCCAATAGTGCTGTTAAATCTAATTGCATGCATTAATATCTAACATTAACTAGAATTTTCCCAGCTTTTTATACAAAAAGAGTTGTTTTTTAATGTTTTTTATTCATTAAAGTTTAGAGGTTAGCACATCTATACAGCACATATCTTCCACCAAGCGCTCCTTTATGAATGGATGCCGTAAAATTGTGATTCTGTAGGACTCACCGCTACGAGGTGTCCTGACGCGCTTGGAATTCTGAGGCAACACAGGCCGAGGTTTATACAAGTCGGTACTGTCGTACCTTTGAGACGCCGACCTACACACTCTAGAATAGAACAAAAAAGAAATCTACACATTCCGAGAAAAAATCACTTGACACAGATTAGTGTAATTACTATCTGAGACTGACCTTTGGTTTCGTCGTTTAACAACCTTGATCTCACTTGTCTCTTCATTAGGATCTTGAAAAATAAAAAATAAATAAATAACGACTTAATTTAAGAGATAAAAAGCTTATAAATTACTTTCAGAAACAGAACTTACAATTGAGGCGATAAGTTTCAAAATGTTTTGAGAGCCACTAAAATCATATGGTTGTGCCCTATTCATGCCAGAGAATTTGTACACATTATTTTTTCTTTTACCCTCTACACGGGCTTTTCTGCCGTATAATGTGGTTATCCTACCAATGACCAAAATATTCGAGCCCAAGTGGAAAGATAAAGATTCATTCAGAGGCTGCCCCCAAAAATAAATTTTAACCCCCATTTCTTAGGCTAAAGCAAACCAGTATCATTTTGACTCGAAGTTGCTAAGGGTCGGCCTTTACACATATGCCCTCGAATTCATTTCTTTCATACCTCAGCAAGTATTGTAATAGAATAAAACGTTTTAAGTGCAGTTTTCAACAAATTCATTTCAAGTGCCTCTATGTCCAAAAAATGCATTTTCAGCCACGGAATAGTATAAACTATTATCATCTCTAGAAAATGGGGAAAATTTTTTTGTTTATTTTCTAAGTAGGATTTCATGAGTGTTTACACGTGAATCCAGATAGCAATTGCAGTTGTCAGATAGCAAGAAAACATCTTTTTATATGAACAGTCGCAATAAAACAGTTCAACTAAGTTTGATAAAACTTGACTCATGTTATCCTTTCATTTTCAAATATATTTCAACCTCAAGAAGAAGCAAGAAAAATAATTTCAATTAGCTCTTGGCTTCAAAATTATAATTTTATGGAAAATTATATATGATCATATGAATGTTACTTTAATTTAATATTATAGTTGTTCTATGTAATATTAATGTATTATACAGGATATATTAGATAAGGATTAATAAATATACTGTGTATTATAACTTAAAAAGTATTTTTTACAGAGGTTCGCATGAAAACCAATCATTTTATTAATTTTTTGAATAATTAAAAACTTTACACCCCTAGGAACATTCCGGGTTCTTTTTTGAAATATATATAATACTACTATACAGGATGTCCCATAAGTAGATTTTCAGTAGAAAAGTAGAAAATTCAAGTTTTGTGTTTTTTTAAAGTAACACGCTTTTTGTGGAATAGGAAAAACCAAAAACATATTTGATTTAAGTAATTAATAATTACTTCACTGCAAACTAGATAAAATTTACTTCAATTGAAAATAATTGTTTTTATTGTTTAAACCATTTAAAGAGGATTTTCAAGCGGCTAAACTAAGCAAAGTTCTGTTTTTAAAAAAGTCATAAATTATTTGGGATTTTTTTATATCATCATCCAACTACTGATACCCCACTTTTAGAAAAACTTCCTCATTTAATAATTATTAAATCAATATTAATTAAGTTGAGGTTAATTAGGCAAAAACTTGAGATTCAACTCAAGTTGGATAATAAAATGATTTGATTTTCTATCCTGTTATCTAAAAGTACTAGTGTTTTCAGCAAGGATGATTATAATTAACTGTTGCAAAGCTTTTATTTCTTATTTTTCCATGATCTGGGATGTATTGTAATAAACAAATTGTCTAAATACAATTTTTATTTATAAAAATAAACAATTTAAAAATAATGATTTTTCATTTGTTTCTCAAATCTGTTTTTTTCTTCCAGATCTCTGTCATATGAATTGATTTGTATTTACAAGTGACAAACTTAATGTTTCTAGCCCTAATATATATGTCTTTATGAAAATAATTAATCAAAAGCAATCAGCAGGTTTCTTTATTTTAAACATGAATTTTAGGATTATAAATATTAAGGTTGTCACTTATAAATATGGATCAAATCCTAATACAGAGAGCTTGGAGAAGAACATTTTCATAACTATATTACATTTATTTTCCAAATTTTACAAATAAAAAGTGTATTTAGGTAATTACGCTTATTACAATACAACCCAGACCATAGAAAAATAAAAAATAAAAGGTTGGTAACAGTTAATTACAGTAATTTTTTCCTGAAAACAAGGGTACTTTTAGATGACAGGATAGAAAATCCGAGAATTTTTTTACACATCTTGCGGTGAATTTTATATTTTTGCCGAAAAAACATCAACTTAATTAATATTGATTTAATAATTATTAAACGAGGAAGTTTTTCTAAAAGTGGGGTATCAGTAGTTGAATGATGATATAAAAAAATTTCAAATAATTTATGACTTTTTTAAAAACAGAACTTTGCTTAGTTTAGCCGTTTAAAAATCCTCTTTAAATGGTTTTAACAATAAAAAAAATAATTTTCAGTTTGAGTAAAATTTATATAGTTTGCAGTGAAGTAATTGATAATTACTTAAATCAAATATTTCTTTAGTTATCGCTTCCCAATCAACAAAAAGTGTGGCTTACTTAAGAAACTACAAAACTTGGATTTCCTACTTTTCTAATAAAAATTGGTCAATTGTTTATATGAACTTTTTTGTAGTTCTTAAGGTCTTCTATCACTCTTATAAAAATTCCCCTCTACTTAGGGACATCCTGTATAAGTGAGAATGTGATGGCCGAGCACGTAGGGGCATCGGTCGCAGATTCGATTCCCACTTGAGTTGTTTAACTTTCATTTTTCGAAGATCCCAGAAAATTAATCTCGACACTCCTACTCTGCTAAGTATGTAGCGGTAACCTCAAGGTCCACTTGGTTCTCCCACCAGTACTAGTACTACTGTCTAAGCGTTACTCGACTTTTATCTCATGATCATGCTATAAAGGGAAATCTGAGAATGGCCAATTGAGTCCAAAAGCAGAGAAAGGTGACTGAACTGCTTGGTAAGGCTCCGACCTCAACTGAAAAAGATATAATTAAAGCTATTTAAGGCCCTGATTTTAACTGATAACCACCGATTGGGAGTTTGTGGAAGTAATAAACCGGAATCCAAATTAGAGGTTATATACCAATATAAGAGGTTATACCTTACACATGTTATCAATCCTCGGAATTGAAATTATAGCATGTTCATGAATCTTGAATTCATTCTAGAAGCCCACTATTCAAACTGGAGTGAGACTGGTACAGTAGTACCAGATATTAAATAGTCTACATAGCTAATTGTTTGTATCGATTTTGAGTCTAAAAAAGTAAAAAAAAGTTATTTGAGTGGACATACTAAATATTTTTTATAATGAATTAGAACCCTCCTTATCAACACACAGCTTCGTTAGGCGATAAAGTGTATTAAAAACTTATTAATAATAATATAAACATTTTTTATGAAAAAAATTGATTGACTCAGTTTTGAAACTAATTGCCTCGATTGTAAATGTATTTTCCCAAAATACATTAACTTATCTCTAATCCAGCACCAAAAAAAGAAGAAAATTGATATAATTTATATGCTCAAAAATGAATAGGGATATTTTTGATTGATTCTCATTTTATTTGTTTTAACTACAATATCCCTCCCCCTTTTTTAAGGATTCTCTTATTTGTTGGTAAACCTAAAATGAAAATAACAAGAATTCTTTATTTTTAATAAATTATTAACAAAAGGATAGTCAACATGAAGAATACTCATTATGTAAACCAACAGTTGTTTTTGACTTTTCTCAACTTTAATTCAGTAATATTCTGTTTAACAATGGAAAGACATGATATTTATATATTTTTTCTCTCTTCATACTTCTATCCACACCTGTAGAATTGACAGTAAGCAGATGTGATCTCATAGTGAAGAAAATTGTCATTTAAGGCATGAGGAAGATTAGTACCCAGCAGTACCTCTTCCTGGTCTTGGTCTACTACATAATTTAGGAAAGGAGATCTCTCATCCAGCTCCTCTTTAATCGTCTCCTGATGGGCATGTCAGCATTTATGATATTAAACCATAAATTTGCAATATTATCATGAGAATGAGCAGTCAAGGGAACCAAAAAGTGGATATTGCTGAAGCAGTCTCCCAGAGTGTGGTCTCCAAGCTTTAGCTAGAGAATCAGAGAAACCGAAAGAACTAATAGAAGACCTGTTAGTGGATATCAGTACATTATTACACCAATAAATGACAGAAATATTGTTATTACTGCAAGAACCAACCCTTTTCGTAGTATCTGACTGAGCCTAAATGAAGTGTCGAATGTTCTGCCAAGGCCAATCTCAAAACAAATCATTTGTACTCGCATGTGGAAAGTTGGGCCAACATTTTATACCCTCTTTAAGATGATCAGCAGTGCCTCGCCGGCAATTCCGCAGTTTATGGTGCAGCGAGAGCCTAGATGAGGATACAAATTGGAATGCTGTTATGTTTACGACGATAGTAGGTGCTGAAGAGCAGGGTCTTTTTTACTTAAGTATCACCAGTTACTTTTTTGTCACTTATTTATAACTGTTACGAGGTTATAAGCTGAATCATAAACGTATTGTTTTATTGAGTGATAATTAAATAAAAAAAAAATGAACTTCTTAAAATTAAATAACATTCTTTCATCAAAAATTAAGATCATCAAAATGATGAACAAAAGAATAATACACAGAAAAAGGAAATGTTCCAGAGGAGATTACAAGTGATAAAAAAACTTTTGGTCTCCTGAAAATTAAAATAGTTAAATATTTAGATTTAGATTTGTTATTCTCAAAGTTAACCTATTCTGTGTTCATTTATAATTTATTATTAATTTTCAATAAGATATTTATTCTTATATGATTTCTAAATAATAACTGTTATTTTACTAAAAGTGACTGGCGATACTTAAGTAAAAAAGACCCGAAGAGTCTAACGAGAACAGGAGATGGGTACACTGCCATAGTTAGTGATCCCATCAATACTGTTCGAAGGTGGGAGAGTGATGGCATGGGTCATCATCTACTCAGAAGGAAGGACTAAACTCAGTATTAGGGACGATTATGTTCGAGAAATAATAGTGGAGTACATCCCTTGAACCAGGGCCATTATTAGCCAAGATTTCCATTTTCTTGACGACAATACGCTATCTCATAGAGAGAAAGTTTTTCATCAATGTCTTCAAAATCTGAGAATTCCACTTCCCGTAATATCTCTAGATCTTAATCTCATGGATCACATGTGAGATGCACTGCAGAGAAGACTTTTAGACTGCAATCCTCAGCCTCTTAACCGAGCAGAATATACAGCGACCGAGAATAATATTACCATGTTTATGGAATGAAAACCCTAGCGAAATCAGCAACAACATTATAAACATTATGTCCAATAGGTGCAGAGAGATAGTTTGTAACACAGGACATTACACACATTATTAATTTTTTTAAAATGCTTACAACTCACAATCATAAAAACAAGATTAAAAAAATCTTTAATTTTACAATTTTTTTAAAAATCTTCAATGCTTTTTATAATAAAAATAGAATAAAAATTCTATAAAAAATAATTCATACATAACTAACAATACCCCTATTCATTTTTGAGCAGTATGGTTTTAAATTATAACTATAAGTTATAACTAATTATAAAATGACTGATTTTACTTCCTCAACAAACTTATGTAGCAGAATTGTAGTTATTGGTAGAAAGACTTTTACTTTACTCTTAATTTACTTAATCTAGGGTTTCATGAATTTAAAAAGATATAAAAAAAAAATCTGTTATTGACATCTATAATTTTGTAACATACTTTTTACCTTAAAATATTTTTTAATTATAATTATTTTTTTACACTAAAAAAATTTTTATGTGAAATTTTAGGAGCATGAAGCTGTAAAACTAGGTCCTGAAAAACATAAAAATTTTGGAGGAGAAATGTTTCAATATTTGTAGTCTGCAGTACAGACCTCTTTTTATGAAATTATTAACATCTGCCTAAAATTTCATGAATATTTTCATCTAATCATAAACTAAAACTTACTTGTTTATGAAAATTCTCGGAATTGAGGCATTTTCAATCTGATGATCGGCAAACTTTATCTATTTAATTAGGTACTGGAAGCTCATTCGAGATAATTTGATCACAAAATCAAGACAAAGTTGTTTTATAAAAATATTGGGCCACTTTGCGTGACCTCGACCCCCAACATGTTTATTTGATTTTCCTTATTCTTTTTAGCTAAGCAGCGATTATTTTGTTTCATTTCTTATTGGTATGGTATACAGGATGTTACAGGGTTAAACGGCCAAACTACAAAAGAATCTCCTCTGAAGGTATGTCGGCAAACGCTTTGTTTATGAAATTATAAGATTCAATTATCCTTCTTTGTAAGGAATTAAGGTCATTGACGGGACTTGCTCAATCATGTCCCATATACCAATCAATGGATTGGCCGTGCAGGACCAGTGGCTTGGCCTGCACTCTCCAGACCTGACAACACTGGATTTTTTTATTTGTGATAACATTAAACAAAAAGTATATGCAAGTCCAGTCAATGACCTTAGTTCCTTATGAAGAAGGATAATTGAATCTTATGAAACAATAACACATATCCATTGCCGTTCTGCCACTGCTGCTGTTGAAGAAAGATGCCGAGCCTGTCTTAATGCTCCAGGAAATCAACTTTGAACAACATTTAATATGAATGTTAATGTTCATGTTTGATTAATAAAGTAGTTGGAACAAATAAATAAGTTTTATTTACTTATTTAATGTAAACAATGAAAATCTTTAGGTGAGAATATCTCCTTAACAAAGTGTTTGCAGACATACTTTCATAGGAATTTTTGTTTTTGTTTTGAGGTCCTTAATTCATATTTTCAATTTGGCCACTTAACTCTAAAACACCCTGTATAGTTTCATTAGTTTGGTTTTGTATTTTTTGTTAGTTTGGATAAGGTTTTTTATTTATTTAATGTAGTTCTTCTGCCAGAAGTATTTCTTTTGTTCTGTAACATTTTACTATTCTTAAGGAACTTCGTCCCAGAATAAAGTTATTTTTCTATTCTATTAAAAACATGTCAAAATAACAAGGATTATAGGCTAAGCGGCCCAATACTTTTGTAGGCCACCTTTTTAATCAATTTTGTGATCAAATCTTAAGATTCAAGAGAAATACAAATGAGTATTTATGAGTTTTTAGTACTTCATTAAATAAATTAATTTAATGAGAAAATGGCCCATTTATGAGAAATTTCATAGATAACAATTTTGTATGTTACGGTAAGATGAAGCCATCCAAGAAGTTTTAGGCAGATGTTAATAATTTGATAAAAAGGGGTCTGTATCGGGGAGTATTGTAGATTGGTATTGGATGTACAAGTAAAATATCTAAGTACAATCAGTTCTGTAAAATTAATTTTTAAACATATTTTAATTTAACAATAAATTATAGCACTTCAACAGAAGTTATAATATTACTCAGTGCACTATCTTAAGATTGATCAAATAACCTTATCACAATTTCTACATATTATGAAGGTTAACTCAATATAATATTAAGAAAAGGATTAATGATTGAACAACTGACGTAGTGGGCAAAGATTTTATAGAACCGCGTTCCTCTTCTCTAGGTTACAGAGCTATTATTTCTGAGTCAATAATTCAAATGCGGTCGCTGAAGAATGTTCTGTTAGATTATGTGATTTTTTTTTTTTTTTTGAAACACTAGTTTTGTTTGCTTGATGTTTTTGCAATGACTGATACTCATTAAAATGCACATATGTCAAGTTCGACTACTTGCTCTGAAAAACTGACACAAAATAAATTTCAAAGTTGTTTCCGTTGTGACAAGACCAGAATTGATGAAAATGTTGACAAAGTAAGCAAAATCATCCTCATAGATAGACAAAGAATTAATCAAGAAGTACATCTTCAAACTAATGTTTCCAAATCAGAGTGGGCAGGACAAGATTCATCCAATCCAGTTTTGTTTAAATTTTTCACCATATGTCTCCCAAATATTTCTTCTAGCAGTGCTAAGACTGATTCTAAAAACAGGTATAGGAGTTATGGGAATAGTGTCTGAGCCTAACTTGGCTAGTTAGTCTGTCTCTTCGTTGCCTAGAATGTTCGAATGACCAGGCACTCACTCTATTAAGCTCAGTCAGATTGTTAAGTGCTATGCTGCATTCTTTAACAACCTTTGAGTATACATAATAATTATTTAGAGCGCCTATTGCTGCCTAACAGTCAGTATAGATTATAATATTTTTTTTTTCAGTCACTTTGCTTCACAGTAAGTTTTGAGCACAATGGCAAATTGTTATTATCTCGAATTGAAATACCGAAGCTTGTTTGCCAAGAAGTATTGAGTCTTTTTCTTTGTTATCTTTTATGCCTATTTCTTAGCTGCAGACTGTTAGAGAGCCAGCTGTATAACAATTTATACCATTTTTTGGTTTAAGTTGTCTGCTTATATCAATCTCGACCTCATATTTGTAGTCCAGATATTCACGGATTAGCGTATCTGAGTGTATGGCTAGCACTTCGTCACATCCAATCCTATTCAGCAGTTTTGTATGTCCCCTTTGACAAGGGATATAGGAATAGCTCTTACTGTATAGCTTACTCAGCATGTACCTCCAACTGCAATGGTGGCAAAGGTGAGTATAATATAATGGGTCTAACTGTCGTTATATACAGCCAGTATACCATTTTAGGTTTGATCCCCAATTTCTTCCTATTGCCCTTTTGCTGATCTCTGACATTAACATTAACTATGCAAAAAGATGAATTAAAGTAGCATTAGGAAATAAGACTAGGCTTTATTGGGAAAACAATAGGAAAGAGACAAATCTCAAGCTGTTCCTAGAAGAACCCTGTCAAAAGAGAAGTGCAATACTTCTATTCACAGAAAGTAGAACTGCCTACACATAAAATGGAGATGTGATGTTTTCGTTAGAATGTGGTACTTCCATTTTGAATCGTAGATCCTAATCTCTGCAAATTCATTGATCATAATAGTATATACAAATTTGAAAAGTCTATTGGCCAGTTTTAACAGAGTATAAGACACTGCACAGTAGGCTTCAATGAGACCAAATTTATGCAGAATTAAAAAAAAAAAAGGTAACAAATTATCTGAAAATTAGAAATCTATTTTTTAAAATACAGTTAAAAAGAAGTTGTGATTGTTTAAAGTAAAATTTATGAAATAGTGAAATGAAATAAAAATTTTTTTTAGACGAAGCTCTATAGGAATAATTACAATGTTTTGATTTTATGTAGATAAGAATAAAATGTAGCAGATTCCCATTTATGTTCTAAGATTCCCATTTTAAAACTTATGTCACCTTTTTTGATTATGTTTATTTCATCATTCCACACTTTGTAACGGTTATTATTATTTATCTCTCAGTTCTTACTACTGTCATTATTGTAACAACTTCATTTTACTTTAATTTTTTTACACTACACTACTTATGTTTCTCACACCATGTTATCTGGTTCTTTTCGTAGCCCCGATGAAGGCCTGAACTTCAGGTCGAAACATCGGCAAATGTCAAAATAAATATTATCATTTATTTTTGCCTTCTTATTTGACTGATTACCCCAAGTATTCTTCTCTTCATTTTTTACGACAGTCAACCATTAACCCACAATTAAGATAGTAATTTTTATTGAAATAAATATTGCTTAATGAGGTTAAATCTTGAAAATTATAAAATTTAGCAACATTTTTTTAAATTTTAAAACTAGAACATCGATTGGGATATTAATGAAGCCGGAGAGAAAAACCTGGTTTATAAGGGTTGAGTGGGTTTTGTTTAATTTAAATTTAAAAGTTAAAGGAATAAATGAGCCTTGAAAGTAAGTCTCATTCATGGTAATAGAAGGGCATAAGGTAAAAATTTGCTTGAGAGTTCAATAATTGGTATCAAGTAATGTGAGCACTACATTTGGAAAATAGTTGTCATAGCCGAGATCTTATCATAAGCTTTATCAGTAGCAAATTATCACCGAGTAGTAAAAAAGAAGTAATCATAATATAAATTTATAAAATCAATAAAATACAAAAAAAAAAAATGAATTACCTTTATTTTGAGAGAAAATATCACAAGTAGATGTATTAATGATACTAGCAATTCTTTGAGGCGTGTAGTCTGAAGAATCTGAGACATCACCTGAAGTTCTGAAGCTTTCTTCTTTTCTCAAGCCTAATTCCACATTTTTCAAGCTTTCAAATTCATGAAGCGAGTCATCAGAGTCCGCAAAAGTTTCATCTTCTGCCAGTGTACAAATTTATCAATAGAAAATTAAAAAAACTATCAAAATAGAAGTAAATGAAGAAAACAACTAACCAACTATCATAGACGATTGCTGCATGAGGTTGTCCAACATGGCTTCTGTCAAAGGTACCGAAGGCAGAATTTCTTTGCTATCATTCAAATATGTATTTAATGCGATGGTTACATCAGCCACCTAGAACAAAATTACAGGGTCATATTTTTTTATAAATAACAAAAAACAATAGGAAAAAACTTACAGATGTTTGGAGGACAATTAGGTGCTGGAAAAGTAACAACTGATAGAAGGAAATAAAGACTGTGTTAAAATATATAATACTTCAGCTCAGAGTAGGAAACTATACATTCTAAGAAATTTAGGGATAAATTAAATATAGGCCATAATTCACTTTAATATGGCTATATTACTGCCCAGAAAGACCTTCACACAGTAAATAGTCATAATGAAAAGGAAGTAAAGAAAATCACAGAATGTCGAGGATAGAACATCGGAGATGGATTTAAAATATGAAAAAAGGCCACAAGAGCTATGTGGTACAAAAGCCATTTTGTACAAACAAGAGCCATTTTTCTAGGTACAGAATGGCATTAGAAAATATGTTTTTGTCAGAGATTAAAGACTAGTTTCCAAATAAAGAGATTTTAGTTAACTTTTATGAAGTAAAGAGTGAAAATTAAAACAAAATGAAAAAGTATTTATAGTCAAATTTAAGATACATAAAAGAAAAAATATTACAAGAAATTAGACGCATTACTAAAGATGAGGAAAGAAACCTTGAAACATTAGTAATGTACTATATAAACTAAGTATTTTATATCATATTATTCAAATTTCTGTTAAATAGTTATTATAGAACAAATTAGTTTTTAAAAAAGTATTTTTTTTTTATATTAGATGAGTGCACATAAAATACAGAACAATTGATAATGTTAAACTCCATCAAATTTAATGAGGCACTCGGTCGTAAAACACGGTAACTAACAAAATTTCATGTTAAATTGTTTGTCAGTTAGAATGTTTTACCAACAACTAGAAGTTACTTTATACCATTAATATTCTTTAAAAAAGAATTCTACTGATTGTTTTAACAACCAGAATTCGTTATTGCCAAAAACTTCAATTCATAAAAAAATGTTACATTCTTTAAGACAAAATGCTTCATACATTAATAAAACATGTTTGGTAATTAATTTTTACATTTAAATTTTTAACATACTAATCACATGATTTTTTTTTAAAATTATTAGTTATGCTTCTACATTTCGTATTTTTTTGTGTACTCAACCATATGTTGTTAATTTAATTACTTTTATTTAGTTCTAGTTCTTAATTATATAGTTATGGTTTAAGAAAACTGATATTTTTAATTTTATTTATTCTACAGGTAGGCATAAATCAATATAATAAACACAGGAACATCAACTATCATAATAGACAAACAACCACCTGTCATTCTTTAATGGTTGCCAGGTTACTCACAAACAACATGGGTGTAATGTAATGTAAGGGAATTATTTATCAACATCACACTGAAAAACTTAATTTATAAAAGGTAAATTATCTTTTCTCTTTGTAGTTCATATTAAAAAAATATTGATAATATTTACAAATATTCTTAAAAGTTATAACATGGTGATAAAATTCAATAATGCATATTATCAGTTAGAAATCAGAAATTAGTAAAACAATAGCCAGCAACTAAAATTTCTGTTAAACATTTAGGAAAGCAAAAAGGATTTTTTTAGTTCATTTTTATTATTAATGAAAAACTTCTATTCTTTATATTTTGGTTAATGACTATAGTATTTGTGAATTTGGATAGGAAAGCAGACACATCAAAATGAATTTTAAAATAAAAGAGATTATTAAGTTGTATAGTTTAAGGCAGGGTCTCCGAAATACGACCCATGGGCCGATCCAGGCCGTAAGCAACTTCAGTCCGGCGACTTTGATTATGTAGTAAAATTTGAAAAACTACTTAAAAATATGAAATTTAGCTATTTACTCACACAATGCTACTACATTTATTGTATAGGTTTTTTTTTCTTTTAGAAAGCTCATTTCACATCTGAAGTGTCATTTATAAAACAAGACTTTTTTCCCCACATGGTCAGTGGGACTTGTGCAAAGGTCTCAATGCGGCCCGTGGAACTTAGTCAAGGCAAACAGTTTGGAGACCCCAGGTTTAAGGTAATAAAATAATGGAAACATAATATTTTTAAAAAAAATCATAAAACAATGTTAAAATTAAATGTTTGATAATGGAAAACTGTTTCGAAATGTCATGTTAAAAAATTATATATCATCACTTTGTAGCAAAAAGTCATTAAGTAACGTTGCATAAAATTAAATCACTCAGTACTTCGATTGAAATCAGAACATTGTGCACTAACCATTTTTTCACTTCGACAAATAAGGTAAAAATTTACAAAAATGTACTTAAATGCTTAACTTCTTCAAAATTATATTAAATGACTTGCAATAATCTGATTATATTTCGTTAGAGTTCTGGAAATTTGATGATGAAGAAAAAGAAACACAATTGACCAATTAACAGCTCCTGATAAAAGCAGAAACACAAATTATCATGTATTTAATTTACCATAAAGTGATAATTACAAATTATCATGTATTTATGAGAAGGAATTAGTCGAGGGTGCGGTAAAAAAAAATAAAAAAATTAAAATATATAAATAATTTTAATTTTTGCCGACGTTTCTACCCACTTTGCAGGTCGTCTTCAGGGCGTTGGATGTGGCACTGCGGGAGGCGGTTGAAACACTCAACAGTGTTTCAACCGCCAGTGTTTCAACCGCCGACAGTGTTTCAACCGCCTCCCGCAGTGCCACATCCAACGCCCTGAAGACGACCTGCAAAGTGGGTCGAAACGTCGGCAAAAATTAAAATTATTTATATATTTTAATTTTTTTATTTTTTTTGACCGCACCCTCGACTAATTCCTTCTCATATCATATCAACGGTCAACCATCTCTACATCATTATCATGTATTTAATTTACCATAAAGTGTAAACTTCATGAGTTATGCGCAAATAAAGATCAAATATTTTTTTCTTGCTTAATTTGCTAGGTGTGCTTTTTTTTCGACATTAGTTGAGAAGTTAATGTTAAAAATGATGATCCAATCATGAAGTAATGATAAATATAAAAAATAAATAAAGATGATCCAAAAAAAAAAAAATAAATAAATAAATTCAGAAATAATATAAAAAGATCATGAATAATTTTTGTTGTAAAATTGAATCATTTAGCAATTTTGGTATAAAAAATAGACAAAGAAATATATTTAGAGAGGATTTTTTTGAAAACTGTATAAAAATTATAAGTGTCTTATAATTACAAAAAAATTAACAACTATGAATTAACTAGTGATGAGCAATACTTCACGTGACATGTTTTTCTCCCCTTACTTTAAAGAAAGCATTAATTTCCACAAAAAAAACAACAAGAATTTATTCAAGACCCTAACAGTTTATATAGAGCAGCTCTTAAAAAGCTCACAGCAATCTATACAGGTCACTGTAAGTTAAATTATCATATGTTCAATCTCCGAGTAACAACGAATCCGCTATGCAAATTCTGCCAGGAGAAGAATGAAACAGCCTTTCACATTGTGTGTAGATGTGATAGATTCACAAGGCTGAGACTGGAACTATTTGGGGAGGAACGAATGGATCTCCCCAGTAGATATGAGACGGTCAATCCAACCAGCCTACTAAGATACGCGGAAGTGGTAAAAATAACGTTTTGATAATAAACGAATAAATGAATTAGCTCACAATGGACCCTTCAGGGGTCGACATGCCTTGAGCCAACACTATAAAAAAAAAAGTTTATATTTTATACGATATACCACATGATAAGTTATATTTCAATTTCTAACAACCTATAAAACTTAATTAAAAAATTTGATCATTTTTACCAGACCCCTTGAACTCCTGCTTCGAATTGGCCACCAACCCTCTTCATCTTTTCCCTGAGCCCTGCTACACACACCTACTGAACTATTTAAAGACATAAAGAGTGCAAAAGTTAAACACGTTCAAGAAAGAATTCGTTCTACTAATCCCAGTAGATGAGAAATCTCAACTGAAGTCTGGTAGCGATTTCTGACGGTCTTCATAGCAATGAAGCGGTTATCAGCTGGATAGCCTGACCGCGGCTTCCTGTTTTCTGTTAACTCTGGACTATCTGTAGAACTGTTGTTTCAGACTTTGGCAGACCCGCGCACTTTGGCTGTTTTCAATTAAGGCAGTAATCTGAGCAACTGCCATGGGAACCAAGACACTTTACACTCTTAAAAGTGTTTGATACAAATGAAATCTTGTTTAAAAAAAAAACTACACAAAAGTAACCAATGTGATGGAACGGACAACTGGAGACAAACTGATATGAACTCCACACTTTATTTTATCACTTTTATCATTAATCCTAGAGAGAATCATGAGATTTTCTTCACAGGATTGATGCATAGTAATCCCCTTTGACCTGTTATTACTTCAGGCTTAAAAATATTTCTTTAATCTCCGATATTTTTGTAAACTTCAAGGTCCACCAATTTTTATTATCTTTTGAAGTGCTACCAATGGGTAGTTTCTCTTCATGTTGTACATGTCATATTACCTATTCAAATTTACTTGTATTTTTTAATTAATACAGTTATAAATTTCAATAAATATATTTTTTAAAATATACATATTATGTTAAATTTACTAATTTAATCTAAAATTGTATGATTATAAGGATGTGAGATCCGAAATCATGTGAATAATACTTTTAAAATTGTAAATGAAACCTTTATTATTAACATCTGAGTTATGTAGAATTAGAAACATTTACACTAATATATAACGCTGGTTTATTGCAAAAAGTCATTAAGTGACCACAAATAATTAAAACTTTAAAATTTTTTTACTTTATGAAATTAGAAAATTGTGCACTTGCTGTAACTATATTTAATATATAAAAGGGTTTGTTTCATTTACATGTCCTTACATTGTTTTTTTATCGATTGATAAAGTCAAAATTCATAAAAAAATTTTGTGAAAGTTAACCTATATCAAAAATGCAATTAGTGACTTTTTGCAATAACTGGATATGTTAAACTATATGAATAATTAAAATATTTGTAATATTGAATTTGTTAAAAATATTT